CCGTAAATATCGTATTGTTAACCACGTGCGTGCAAAAACACGACGTGCACGCGCGTCTGCGGCTCGGAGAGCCGCTACTTTTATCTCCTCCGATGCCTCGTTGCACATAATTGCAGCCGAATTTATCGTCGGCGAACGGTACCGCACGTGAGACGCGCTACACATCGGCGTGGCACATCGTCGGCGATCGTCGCGATTTGCAGGCTTTTCCTCGAGAGGGGGAGGGAGAGAGAGAGAGAGGCACAACAGTTGCTATACCCGTTTAGCTGTACAACTCGTCAACAGGCTGCAACAATTCCCCTCCTCCCCCACCCAGCCGCCGATCCTCCGCCTGACCGCGCGCGGAGGTTTGTGCGACTGCAGGCGGCACGCGCGCGCGCAGCGTTGCATAAGTGCTTCTCTCCTCGCCTCGATCCTGGCCTTGACTTTGACTTTGACTCTTGATTACGATCACGACCAAGCGGTAGCGGCGGCGGCGGCTGTCGACGCGCACGACATACGGTTTCGCAAGCCGCGTATGGGCGGATAGACGGAGTAGTAGCCGCGTCTCGCCTCGCCTCCTCCTCGCGGCAGCTACTACCTGCGTTGCAGCATCGCGCGGAGCGGTGACTGCGATACTGCGACTCGCGGATTATCGCGCGCTAGTCGCCCGCTCGCTCGCTCACTCGCCGGGTTCTCGATTGGCCGGCATGCCGGCTGGTCGCATGCACGATTTCAGACGGCGACGAGAGAACGCGAGGCGAGCTTCCTCGTCTGCGGCTTCTTCTCGACGATCCTCACGCTCAAGTTTTCGAAATCCAACTCGCGTCCCTTCACACCTTCACCGCCGAATATAGAGTAGAAAAATATATATTGCATTCGAGTTAATATGATTTTGTTTCGAGTATTTCGCAGATTTCTACGTCTGTGTGTCATGAGTTTATCACAAGCGAATTTATTCCAAATATATCCTCGATCTTAGTAAGTTTGATTCTTCGATCAAGAATGTTGAATTAAAACATTCATGATAAATATATGTAATAAGAAAGAAAAATATATAACAGTCTGATTAAAAAAAAAGACGGCGTCGGAAATAAGGTATCTTGATGTCATCGTGGCAGTCAACGTGTTAACGCTCCCGAAGACAAGAGTCGCTCCGAGTAACGGATAGGAAGACGAACACAATTCGCGTATGGGTAATTTGCTCATCGCGTGAGCTCGATTGTCCGCGGAGGAACGCGACGTATGACTGGTACTATTCTTAAATATGCAGAGTTTCCTTTTCAGCGTCGACGCATCTTTCATGTGTGTCTCGCGGAAATGTGTTTTTTCCGCAGGATGTTATCTCGGAGAGCGAACTGGTCGTCGGTCTCATGACGATACGACAAAGCGATATAATGTGCGCTGCACGTGCATTTCGGTTTGCGGTCGATCGATTGGTCGAGATCGCTTCGAGTTGCGCGGTTCGCTCGGAAATGAAACAGCGTTGGAGACGAGGGAAGACGGTTGGACGATAGTCGGTGGAGTTCACGAGGGGACATTTGGAAAAGAGAAAGTGGGGCCTGCTTTCGGCCCCGGCACGTGGAAGATGGATTTATACGCCTTTTTAGATTCGTGCGTTTCTTCACGTCGAGTTGAATCGCCTCCGATGACGTTTCCGCGTCTACCACGCGATCCGTCAACTGCGATATCCCAATTTTGCGCGTTATAAGCGCGATCTCAATGTAATCGCGACTCGATCGCCGATTACTCGGCAAGAAGAATAAAAAAGGTGACTTGATGCCGTCGATAATAAGTAATTCGCGGAACAACACAGTGGGAGGCATACGAACGTACGCAATCCTATACCGCGTTGCCTTTTTTTTCGTTTTTCTTCTTTTTACATAATAGACACACACATCTGGCGCGCCGGCGAGAATACGAATCGATGCCGTGCGCTGTGAGCGTGGCAGGAGGATATTTAAGAAATGCATGCACCAAGCACCGATGATCTTACGTAATTCATTTTACACGTGCTGCCGTTCGTTTCGATCACACACCGTTTAGAGCCCGTCGGAAGCTTTTTCCGCTCAATGTCACGGATCGCACGCGGCGCGATTGCGATCGCGGCGAACGAATTACCTAGTTATTAGGGATTCGATGACTCAAGCAAGGATCATGACGTCCGAACGTCATTGAGCCGCGACGTGTGTGTATATACGGAGAGAGAAAATGCGTTACATTCAAGTGAATATACGCCGGAGGAGTGTTGAAGTAATTATTTTACTTGGTGAGAAAGATAATGAAAGTTAGCACGTTATCATTATCTTTGTCATTAGTTTTAATTAAAGAGCCTTACATTTCTCTGATATTCTTTTAGTTGGATCTACTTGACCGCAATGGACAACCAAACGTGTTTCGGTTGAAGGAAAGCTTTCTAGTTCCTACGAGCCGAATTTGCTTCTTGTAACCGGAAATTCTGTTTCCTTCGATTAAAACTCATTTTTCAATGCGATTGTACAAATATACTTTGAAATTGTAATTAGACCGACGTTTTCTCGCTGATGACAAATTCGTCCGAGCAACGGGCAACGATTGACGGTCTCCGCAACGAAATTATAGAAATAATGCTCGAGGTCTCGACAAAGTCGAACTGAAGAACGAGTTTCTGCGTTATGGCGGGGCTCGGGTTTATAGTTCAGAATAGTTCGGGGTCCGTTTAAATCGACTGAGGACTCGTGCTGCTGCTGCCTATCGCGCCGTCGCGGCGCGCGCGAAGAAAATGTTTTATGCATGACCGTCAGACAGAGAAATCTCCGAACGATAAATAAAGCGCTGATCTCTTCTTCAGAACGCCTCTCGCTCCGCTCTACCTGCGCCCTACGCCCTCCTCGTCGTAGGCCGAAAGACAAACGACCACGGCCGAACGCGACGTGTTCGCCATTGCGAGCGCTCCGCGCCGTCTTTCTTGTTTAACAGCCAGTAAGTTGCTAGAAAAATATGCAGTTAATTCAACTTTGGTTCATCATTAACTGGAATTTTCTTCTTAGTCGCAAGAATGTACCATCTTTAGATAAAATGACATGTAGTGTCGTGTTAAAAACACGCTGAATCGTGCAAAGGATTGTTCTTACAATTCGGCGTGCTTTCAGACACAACGCGATATGTTGCTCCTTCGGAGACAATGTTCTTTCAATAGAAACGTTACAACTGAAATCAATGACAAGTACTGTTGAACTAACTGCTTGTGTTTGGGGAAACCCGTGATATCGGCGTTTAATTGAATCAACGCTTTTTTTTCCTTTGAACGGCATTTTTTCCATGTAGGGATGGTAGTTAAAAGTGATTTGCAGAAAGAACCAAATGGGGAGCAACATTGGTTGTCGAGATATAACAAAGTGAAATTAAACATTTTGATACTATATTCCGGATATCATAAACTAGACATCTTATAAGCTGATGTTACGCACCGTACAAGGTCTACGTGTATCGTAATAGTAGGTTGCTTTCTAAACAGAAAAAGTGTTTATTTACATTATTGGGAGAATGGCTGTTATATTATCGGCAATCGTTGTCACGTATCTCGAACGAGTCTTCAACACGTATCTAATAAGGCAAAACGGTAATCGGTTTTGAAGCCGATGTCTGGAATTCAGGTTTAGGTAATCGTTATGTATAAAAACGACCGATTTCGAAATCGATGCGCAAATCGATTCAAGTGATCATTACACCGAAAAACAAGAGTTGATTAAAAGTTTATGTTGGTTTAAATTCAATCTTGCATAGGGCAGCCCCTCCCCCGTTCTCTTTTTCATTCGGATTTATTTCTCCCCGTTTCTTCGAACAGTTCAATGCACGTGTATATTCGATTATCACGCGTGAACTTTTGCTACAACCGCGTTTGCACCTTCGGCTCTTATCGATCCTACCGCATTATTATCGCATATTATTATCGCAGAGCTATGTCTATACGCTGAAGCTCCCGGAGATCATAGGGAGAAATCTCGGAAAAATCTCGCCCCGAGATCTCGTGGACACCCCTCTCTCGTGAGGAAGGTCGTAAACGTTCTCGGAAAAATATTTTGAAAATCTTCGAGATCGAGGACGATAATTTCGTGCCAGGTCCATGTAGACATAATTCAATGTCGCGCTGCTTGTTCTAGATCGAAGTGAGCGTACGATCCCGAGGAATTTTGTATCCTTCCCACGAAAGCTTTATGCGTTTTCCCTTTTTGGATAATTTACGACGCGGACCAATATGTTCGCTGAAGGAGTGATCGCGCCTCTCATTGTGCGATGCGACGTGGACGCTACAGTAGTGCAAATCGATGGAAGAATCTTCGCTCGACTCGTCACAAGAATCTGGACAGGGATGGAAAGGATAGAGAGGAAGGGAGGGGGGGGTGGGGAGGAGAAGAGAGAGAGAGAGAGAGAGAGTTCCCTACCCGGAAACACATTCAACAGTAAAACGCTAATTCGATCAGGAGGTATAGTCGGCGATGGAACAACTAGCTCCCCTAGAAGAAGGAGAAGAAGGGGAAGAAGATCAACAACAAGAAGAACAAGAGCAAGGGGGAGAACAAGTAGAAGAATAAGAAGACGAGGGGAGAAGAGGGAAGAGAAAAAGAGAAAAATAATACGATCTAACGAGAAAGAAAACGGAGCTGAGCGAACGAAGGCTCAAAAGCGCAACACGTACGATGCTCCGTTACGCGCATGCGTCAAAAGCAGTTTCCAGCAACGAAGAGTAGAGTTCAGGCCGCGCGTTGCTGAAGCGACCACCAAACAGTCCCGCTGGCTGGCTTCTCCTCGGGCCTAGTGGGGGGGAGAGGGGCCGGTCGGTGAACAGGTTGGTGGTGGGGGTCGAAAAAGGCTGTCAACGGGGTTCGCGCGCTTCGTTCGATGTCGGTAGTAGGTAGGGTAGCGAGGAGTGGTGTACTTGGTGAGGGGCGGGGCGCGGAAGAGGGAAAGACTCAAGCGGCCGAGGCTACGGACCCAGCCTGAGTCAACGGAGTTTCAGTAGTTTGTGAGAGGCCTTACGGTCGAGACTGCTCCGTTGTGACGGTGAGCAGTCGAGAGTCGCGCACGCACAGGATAACTGTAAATCCGAGTACGGTGAAGGAAGTGAGGAGGGACACAGCGGGAGGGAGAGAGAGAGAGAGAAAGGAAGGAAGGAAGATACATGACGCGACCGATACGACGTGACGTTACCGCGTGTAATCATTGACAACCGCGAATAATCTGATCAGCACGCTCTCGAGTTCAGTGTAAAAGGGAGAAGCTTGGACTCTGGCTTCGAGGCTGGTCCCTGAACCTTGGCTGGACCCGTCCAGGAGGGGGGAGGGGGGAAGAGGTCCCGTGTACTTGTGACCGCAGCTTTTTAGCTTTTCTTCTGACACGAAGCCGCGTTTGACATTGTTGCATTGCAACGTCGTCGTTCGTCCCCCGGTGAAACGCGCTCGCCCACGTGTGGAGCAAGGACAGGTGATGGTGAATCACTCTGCGTACGACGTAAACACAAATGGATTTGGTAGCGGGTTCTTCCTCGGGATTCCGTGTGAACATCTCGGGAAAAACGAGACTGCTGTGCATCGCGATTGACGTGCCGCGAGTGTGTGTAGGGTAAATGACACAACAGCTCTGTGCGAAGGACCGTCAGGATGCCGAAGATCTTTCTGATCAAGAACCGGCTGCATCAGCAGCAGCAAAAGCTGCTGGAGTCGTCGCAACTGAAGTCGCAGGAGTCGTCGGGACAGAGTCCCCTCAGCAAAGAGGAGGAACCGCTCAGCAAGGAGGAGCCGCTCAGTCTCATCGTCACCAAGAATCAATGTAAGTCCTGAGAGAAATCGAGAGAGAGAGAGAGAGAGAGAGACTTCCGATTTGGATCGATATATCGGTCCGCAATCTCGACGACTCTGACCAGCCATTATCGGCTCGAGTTGACGTACAACTCGACGAGAATCAGCTCCGCGCGTATCTCGCGCGTAAATAAACACGCGTCGAGTGAGACCTATTTTTTCCTTCTTTTTTTTTTCGAAATACGAGGAGTCGAAATTACATGCCGGTTATTAAACTACCAATACCGGTTGGCTGCATTGAAATCCATCCGTCTCCCTCTGGCCAATGGTCTGACCTCAGATTTTTTATGTTTTTGCGAATGGGCGAAGGTTCTCCGATTTCGGATTTGGAGCCGAGCTTTCCCTCGGCGAGATCATCATTATCATTGGTCGTCGCGTGATTTATTTTTTTTATTTTTTCACACCTGTCTATGAATAAGTCTCCGGAAAAGAATTTGTTTGAGAAGCTGGAGCCGACCTCGATGCGTGCCTTGTTTTTCGAGCCATGATACTTTGCGGTTGCACACCACGCGGCAAATTTTTTCCAATAGGGCGCTCTTTCGAGGCCCTAAGTTAACGTTTGTATTTCTCCCCCCCGAATATTATGTTCGATGCGATGTTATGTACTTAGGACACCTCTCTCTCTCAGGCTTCGATGTGCTCTTGACCAACAGTTTAAGGAATGGTCGGGAAGTTTAAAGAACGATTTCCTTTGGTGGAATCTCCCTCGACTGTTCCTTTTAATCCAAACTTTTCAACTTGTTCGTGAAAAGACGGGGAATGTGTTAAGACCTCTTTAAAGGCAGATCCACTCAAAAATCTGTCAAGTCGTTTCTGTCGCGCAGACGGAGAGCGCTGTGCGGTAAATCGCGAGTCGTACTTATGACATACAAACTGAAACGGTCTGCTGAAAATCGAGCAAGCAAGCCGTATCGAATTCTTTTAAATTTTCACGTTAAGATCCGAGACAATGCTCCACTTTACCTGTAAATCGCGTACGAAGTGAATGTTTACCTATTCATGACCAACCCGGCTCCTTGAAATTTAACCTGAAAGTTGCCCTTGACCCCAGATAAATTTTTTTCTTGAGGAATGCGACTAACTGTCATCTCCTCCTTCGGTTTTTATCGCTAGAGACTCGAGTCTCTATGAGTTCGACCCAAAAGGAAATGCTGAAAAAGTGACGTGCCGGAGACATTTACAGGTTACACTTAATCGAACGCAGTGGGAAACGCGCAAGGACTTAAATGTTTCAGCGCTCTGAGCTTATTACGGCGCGCGGAGATAACGCGAAATACAGCCCACTAGAAGTATCGACGCATTAGCATAGTCGAATTTGTTGAATCTCTTACCATTATCGTGGCGTAATCACCGCTACTCCATCCTTACGCATTAAGAGCATGGTGCACAAGGAAGCGTAAACAGCAAGACTCGAATTAGTTCCATGTTAAGTCTTCAGATTAAGTCTTCTTCGATGCCATAAATGAGAAGTTATTCCCGTTTTCTCCACTTAGGTTTCATGTAGAACTTAGTCTTGATGTAGAAGATTTAATGCAGAATTAAGTAGACTTAATGTAGGAGCAAAATTTCGACTCAGGTATACGGAGAAAAATGATTCAAAAGGACAGCAAATTCTATGCTATCGTAGTAAATAAATAAACGTACCTATTTGCTACAAATTAGTGCCGTCAGACATATCCGACTCGTGTCCTCTCATTTTGAGTTTCTCTCATTGTGACTATTCATGTATTTTCGTTATACTGAAATCTAAATTCAGTTGATACTTTTACGCATTATCTTCCGTTTCTTTCATCTTATTTGTAAATCAAGGATACCTTCCGTTTCAAAAAATAAACAAATAAACAAAATAAAATTCGCCGTCCCCCCGAATTATTTTTCACCGTATAGCGTATCGGTGATGAAGGCCTTTTGCATGCACATTATTATTACCACTGTTTTCTGCGTTGAGATCGGAAGAAGAAGAAGATACAATTGAGGCCGAACTGTAATTTCAGCGGGGATCCTTCCGTATGGCGTACGGTTTTTCCGCGTGGCGCGCGCTCTTTACGCGCGCATTAAATCGCGGCGGGAACGCTGGCGCGCCGAGTACGAGCGCGCGAATGACGGCTCTCGCGCGTCCCAAGAGCGCGCGTCATTGCCGAGGGCATGGATTAATGAGGCGTAAGACAATTATCTCCATCTTTTCGGTGCCGTGCGTGTAGCAATTTGACACGGCGATTATCGGCATTACGTGGCCCGTAAGCGCATGCGGTCGCGTGCAAAATTAAGATACGGATCTTTCTTTCTCTCTCTCTCTCTCTCTCTCTCTCTCTCTCTCTCTCTCTCTCTCTCTCTCTTTCTCACGACAGTTTAATCCGCGACGCGCCTCGTCGATAACTCCGAGCGGACCGGGTGAACGGAAGGGGCCCGCGCGTATGCGCGCGGCTTTCCCTTCCCTCCTCGAAGCCCCGGATGATGCTCTCTTTGCGGTGAGGGAAAAGAAGATTAAAGGGTGAAAAAAAGATGAAGGGGGAAGGGAGCGGGCACGAAAGAAAGAAAAAGCAGCCGAAAATGTTGCAGTTCCGCAGGTGCGGCGTCATGTGCGCCAGGGGTACAGGTGCGATTGCAATTCGGACGAGCAACCAATCCGGCTAACGACCGAAGGCGAAGGCGGCCGGAGGAGCGTTATCGTCGCGATGTCGTCGACGGTCGCGCGGACTTCTTGCTTTTCATGAATCGTTAACGCGCTCATTATGCTAATCGCTCGCTTACGCGCGTATATTTGCCGCTCGTCGCAGAGCGCCCACAAATTCGACAGCGGCGCTGGTACGATGCAACGACCTTTTTTTATTATTCGACTTGTGCGCAACCTTGTGCGCGACGGCAGTGCCCGTGAAAAACCACGGTAACGTCATTTTCTTGCCCGCCCGCGGCTCAGCTGACGCTGATTTATTCGCAACGCGTCGCTCACGCGTCGCAGCAAAAATCGCCCCGGTTCTCCGAGTGAAATAAGCGAGCTGCGCTGACTCGGTCGAACGACACTCGCGCGTTTCGAGCGAAATCGAACGTACGTCTCGTCCGGCCTCGCGGTAAACACACCGCGTATTTCGTTATCCGTCGACATTTCAGTCCTGCTTCGAGTTTGATTTGGCTCTGCATTAAGTGTTCGGAGATCTTCCACTTTATTCCCTTCGGGGCTGCAAATAGGAAAGTTATTGCCGTTTTCTCCTTTAGAAGACGTAATGTAGAACTGAAATGTAGACTTTGAAGGATTAAATTCCTTTTGTAGCATTAAAAAAAACACATTTATTGTGCTCCTTTGATGCTACAAGTGAGATCTTACTTCCGTTTTCTTCACTTGAAGACTTAATGTGGGACTTAAAATTTCAGTGAAAGGGAACAATGAACTTTTTCGGAACAATGAAGAATATTGCCCAAGACAGTTTCCTTTACTGACTTTCTATCTCTAGTAATAGTTATTAAGTATTATCAAAATTGGTTGTATTAATTTCCAAAATTTAATTCGCCGTCGTAAATATATGCAGTTCGAGCAACTAAATCTCGGCTCTCGGAGCCGCACATTTACTTTAACGATCAAATTATTTCGTAACAGTCGCTCGATGTTTGACCCGCACTAATTAACCCGTATATTCAATAGCCAATTACCAAATCCCCTTCTTTCAATATCTCTTCAGTAGTTGACAATCCTCAGTTTCGCCATTTTCGATCGAATAGGGAACTGGATCGATCAATGAGAAATCGCAGATGATCGGACTCACTTGAGAGACTCTGGTCTTCCGGAGTCCACTGCGACACCTGCGTGCGCGATCACAAGAGATAGAGAGAGAAAGAAAGAGAGAGAGAGAGAGAGGGGGGAAGAGAAAGAGGAAAAGAGTGCGCGTGCTCTTCTCTTTTTACCGTAATAATGTCGTCCGTTTAATGAGTCATCGTCGACGCCTCCTCCACCACGTGGTTTGACATAATCGACGACTCTTAGTTACGGCATCGCGGTAGGAAAAAAGTTGCCGGCGAACGCCGTCGCGCAGCTACGTGTCGCGGCGGCGGCGTCGAGTAACGACTGACCTTTGACAGGCGGCGTACTTGTCCGCCGCGTATCTGTGCACGCCGCGTGCAGCTAATTATATGTGAATTGCCTTACGTTGCCGCGGAATATATATACATAAGCGCGTGTGCGCTCGCTCGCTCGTTCGCTCGCGCTATTGCATAATGACGTTTACGTCGGTTACGAACGGTTTCGTCGGGAAACAACGGTCATCCTTCCGCGAGCGTCAGCTCGCGCTGCCGATGAGGAACGGTATAGTGAGTAAACGGCCGTGAATAAACGTACATAATCGCGATTCTTTCGATGCCGCTTGCATCTTTCCGAAGGTGCTCTCTCTCGCGCGCGCGTCGTCGCCGAGGTCGGCCGACTTTGCGACTTCGCGCTGAGAAATTGTTCCCCGACGTCGAGACTCCGGTGCGTCGCCTCCGCGTCCCGAAATAAAGAGCAAGCTTGTCGTCGTCGTCATGTGTACTGTATCGTCTCCCAGATCGAAAATTAGACGATTCTCAGTCTCACACATACACAGGGTGTCCGATCATCTTTTTCGAGATTCGTGCAGGTGGAACGGATGAAATTGGACGGGAGAGTCGCGTTTACCATTTCTTGCAAAATTCGCAATGGTTAATGAGGAATTAATTCGTCTGTACGAGCCGATGAGTGCACGGGAAGTGGTAGGGAACAATATAAAGAAAAATGGCTTACTCCTGAAGATCTCCTGGCGACAACGGGTGTCAATTAATAGCGAGAGGTGTGTTCCTTCTTGGCGCGCAGCCTTGTGTCACACACCTCGCTCGTTGCACTTACTTCGAACTAGCACTATTGCTAGTTTTATATTATTTGGAATCGATATTGATTCTCGATACAGTTACAGTACTGTTTATCTTGTTAGTCTTCTACCAGTCTCAAATATCGGTATCTGATACAACGTT